GCACTCAGGAGGCAGAGGCAGAGGCAGGTGGATCTCTCTGAGTTCGAGACCAGCCTGGTCTACGAGAGCTAGTTCTAGGACAGTCTCCAAAGCCACAAAGAAACCCTGTCTCAAAAAAAAAAAAAAAAGGGGGGGTCCCAAAAGGCTAGGAATGCAGCTCAGTCACAGAGTACTTGCCTAGGGTGTATATGGCCATAATTCAACTCCCAACTCTCTGAATACAAAAACAAAAGTTCCTGTATGTGTGTATATGTGTCTTGAGTCCATATTTAACTCAAGGCTTTAAATATACCTCCAAGGACTGTACATAAACGGTTAACCAGCACACGAAAAAATGCTTAATATAAACAATAACCTTAAAATGCAAACCAAAACAATGTTATCTTCTCACACCCATTGAGATGACTAAGGAAGGCTTGTGCAGTCTGGGTGGGTCAGCAGGATATAGGAAGCACAACCTTTTGTGTACTACTGCTGGGAATGTAAAATGTTGCAATTACTATGGAAAAGAATATGGAGAGTGCCTCAAAAAGAATATACTATTCTATCTCAACATGTGTATCCAAAACAAATGAAAACAGTCTTAATGAGATACTTTTCTACCTACAATAATTGCAGTATTATTCCTGATAAGTCAAGAAAATTCTGACAAAAATTCTACATGCTACAATGTGGATGAACCTTGATGCAAATAATCATTAGTCATAAAAAGATAAGCACAGGCTGGAGAGTTGGCTCAGTGGTTAAGAGCACTTGTTCTTGCAAAAACTGGAGTTGGAGTCCCAGCACCCACATGGAGGCTTACCACTTCCTCAGGCACCAGGCATGCATGTGGTGAACTAATATATGTGCCCATAAAAGCACTCACATGGCTAAAATAAATCTAGCAAAGTGACTGTGGGTGCACGCCTTTAATCCAAGCTCTTCAGAGGCAGAGACAGGTGGATCTCAGTGAGTTCAAGGCCAGCCTGGTCTACCAAGAGAATTCCAGGACAGATTCTCAAGTACGCAAAAGTATCTATAACCTACACATAACCTCTTACATACTTTTTACATCATCTCTAGGTTATTTAAAATACCAAACTCTCTTTTTTTAAGATTTATTTATTATGTATAATGTTCTGCCTGCATTCCAGAAGAGGGCACCAGATGTCATTGTAGATGACTGTGAGCCACCATGTGATTGCTGGGAATTGAACATAGGACCTCTGAAACAGCAGTCAGCACCCTTAACCTCTAAGCCATCTCTCCAGCCCTACCTGAAGCAATCTTAATGTTATGTAAAGAGTTGTATTTATTCATCAGTGACATGGCAACATGTTTAGTGCAGATGCAGGACTTGTTCAGGTATTTCTGATATGTAGTTGACTGGATTATCGAGCCCACAGATGGAAGTGTCCATCTCACTTTATAAGAGGTATACACAGTAATCTAACGAAAAAGAAAAAGAAAAAAAAAAAAAAGTAGAAAAAGCATCCTCAAGGGAATGTAGGGAATAGGTGTTATTAATAGGTAGAGCTTTAATTTTCTAGGCATTGCTTGCACAACAATGTGAATATGCCTAATACTATAGAACTGCACAATTAAAAAGTAAGGAACTTGTGGATGACAAGATGACTCACCAGGCAAAGGCACATGCCACCAAACCTGAGGATCTTAATCTGAGCATAGGGACCAGCATGGTGGAGGATAAGACTACACCCACAAGTTGTCCTCTAACTTCACACATGCACTATGGCATGCTAACCCTCCCCACACAAAAATGTCATTAAAGTTTTAAAAATAAAACTTATTTTAATGAAGGGACTTACAATTTTTACAACAGGACAGAAGATATACCTCTGTAGTAAGACCTCTGTCTAGCACGCACAAGGTTCTGGGTTTCATATCCAACACCACACAAAGACCAACTATCCATTGTTGTTTCATGTCGAATTTCAGCACTGTACTATATAGGCAGTATACAGGCAAGTATAATAATCTACTTTTACTTGAAAAGGTTATTGATAGCTTAAATACCAAAGAACTTGTTGATAATCTAGGGGAAAGAAAAATCAAAAACTCAAATAGGAAACAACTGTTTGCTAATTCACTAATTAACATTTAAAGAAAAGCCTGGCCAGGCATGGTGGTTGGTGCAGGCCTGTAATCCAAAACTCAGAAGTTCAAGGCTAGCCAAACTACACAGTGAGTTCCAGGACAGCAATGGCTACAGTGAGACGACCAGCTCATAAAACAAAAAAACAGGATCATCCAATTCATCTCACACCAAAGCCATCATTGTCAAATAAGGCATATACTCTCATTTAGAATCCTCAAAGCACTAAATATTTTTCTCTTTTTAAAATGCACAGTAGGTCAGGCAATCCATTCAGTGCTAATATACTAATGAGTGAAATAGTGGAAAAATTCATGACACACAAGGCCAGAGTCAGATTCAGCAGGTAAACCTAACTTAAAAAAAAAAAAAAAAAGCTACAAACATTGAAAAATTTTTTAAAAAACACAGAAAAATGTAAAAACATGTCAATCTATGTAATAAAACTGTCCAATGTGTCTACATTTTTAATCTTATCTACTTGAGCTTATCTTCAGATTCTCAAAGGATCAGTATCATTTCAAACTATTAGCATATGTGGACAAAAAGTTTATCTGCAATAAGCAATTTAATAAGGTGCTGCTTTTAAAGGGAAGGGGTGACTGGGAGGTTCATAGTCATCTCTGACTGTAGAAATATCAGCAAATGGTACTGATTACCAAACATTTAAAAGGACCTTCTACATAGGCAATTTGTTAGTGGAATATCCTAAAGGTGCTTAAGAAAACCAGTCAATCTTTTCTACTCAGCTCTTTCAGCCTTACAATTCTGAGTATCTTACCTAATTAAGAATGCCAAGTTAGTAAATGCAATATGAAAATGTATATGGGAAAAGGTTACTGATGTAAATATACAAATAAATATGTGTGCGTTTAACCCATAGTTAAGAACATAATTTGGAACTATATTAAGATGTATAGATGCTCTTTAGACTAACATGCTGTCTTCCAGATAACCCACCTTTTCTCATTTCCTCTAACTACTGGGACTATATCAAGTATTCCTATTATTCAGCATGCAGTACTTACATACAAAAATACTAAGGTTACAGAACAAAGCTATCCTACAAAGTTCTTTTTCAAATACCCAAATTAATATTCAGGGTTAAATACTTTCAATCATCCAAAATTCCAACATTCATATAAATAGGAAATATCAAATATTTAAGTAAAGAAAAATGTTTTTATGATGAAAAATCCAAAAGCATGTTTTCTTCCAAGTAAAATTAACTCAAAATGTTTCCATTAATTGAGAAATTGTAGCTTCTTAATTACTTTAAGGCTAGTTTCATTATGTACTAATTCAGGATATAAGCAAAAACTATTAACATTGCTTACTGAATCCTGATTCACTAAAATAAATGAGGCATTATCCTTCCTTGTTGTAAGTTAATAAACCCTAATCAGTAAGAACATCCCAATCCCCATATTTTCTTCTCTGATTCCAAGTGATAAAACACAAAAGCTCTGCCTTCAATCTTAAACTTCCTAAAAGAGAAAGTACACAAGTACCCTGGGTCTCCCCATAGTAAACAGTTCTCCTAAAGGACTTTTTGCTATGTTTTAAGTATGTAGTCAAAGGTGGATGTATCCCAATGCCCTTCCCCTTATCAAATGGGACAGAAGAAAATTGGAAATAGTTCTACAACACACAACCTGACAGCAAAATTAAGGAACTAAATAGCAAGTTTCAAATGTCTTTGAACTTGGCAAAGCTTGATTAAAATCTTAAACGATAAAAGAAAATACCACTACATACAACAAAGAAATAAAACTCTTTTACAGAAACAGTCCAACAAGTGGCAAAGCAGCAACAAAAAAGAAAAAATAACGTGTTGATATTAATTAAATGATGGAAATGCATTCAGAAAAGTCTGACTAGTAATGCATACTTTAAATGCTATAGGACTAAATTCCACCATTTTTAAAGGAGGATATGTGTTTAAGAGTTATCCTCAAATGAGGAATATAGCTTGTGAAGTCACAGGAAGAATTTCCCTGAGATGTTCAAAATTCATGAGAACTGTGCATTATGGAACTTGGGAAGAGTATATAACATATATTCCTAAATATAGTATTATGGTAATAGTGCTTTGCATACTGAATTTCTTGGGTGTGATACTACTGGTGTGCAGCAATACATATTCTTTGTTATCTTTTATTTCTAGGATAGCATATCATAAATGGATCATCTCACATTTCCTTGGTAAATGACTGCTGTGACTTAAAGCTCTTGCCTCATCCTCACAAATGAGAGGAACTTTGAGGAGCTTCAGAAAGACAGGCAAGTTTTCATGTTTCCCAGAAAACATTTTCCCAAGGGTTTTGAAATTTTAAACTTTAAAAATTCTCAATCTGTCATTACTTTCAGACTTCCTACTATAGTAACTTCTAATAGTATAGGCCTCAAGAGACATCTGAATGTCAACCAATGACTGCACTACTGACAAATCTCACCTTTGCAAGTATACAATCTAGGTTAAGCTAAACCCTCATCTAACAGTCATGTCTTCCAATGTCTTTACTAATATAGAAGAAACTGCAGTCAACGGGACAGCTGTGACCCACTGCAGTAGTTACATATGTACCTACACGTGGCATAGTTTCAGAGTGGTGTATTCACAGGGTATCTTCCCCTTGATGTCTTTTATGAACTTTGAGGGACTGAAACCAAATTCATGTCAACTTTATAGCCAAGAATTTAGATTCGAAGTCTACAGGGAAATACACTTAAAGGGGAAAATGAGGGAACTCATACACCTTAGGTGTTTTGAACTGTGTGCACACTAAATTTCAACCTTGTTATGTTTTATACTTGCATTTCATGTTGCATACTTTTGGACTGGATTGTGTTTTTGTACACATAAATAAAAACAACTTTTCTACCTTAGTATTCAACCTACCTGCCCATAGTTGTCTATGCCAGTTACTAATCTATTTAAATTTAACAAATCAAAAGCTGTCCTTAGGGATTGGCCAAGAGTCGTAAGTCCTTCTGCCTGAAGGTTTTTCAGTTCATTCATAAACGTTGCATGATTTTCTTTCCATCCAGCCTGAAAAGAAAGATGTAAGAATTTTTTTTATCATTTGAAGCCACAGCACACATGGACACCGATTATAATGTGATGTCCACCAAGCAGGCATTCCACTTCGGGTTTGTATAGTTAACTTCACTTTTGATTGATATGGCTTGGGTCACATGTTATAACTGTTGTCTCTGGGTGAGGAAATCTCTTCCAAAGGTGGCCAAGAATGAACCTGCTTGCCCTACACAGTCTTAATACTTTAATAACTTCACTGGGAAATTCGCTAACATAACATCCTCCAAATTGTGTGTAAGGGGTGGGTGTTGCGAAGGTACTAGTGGAAGGCAGATGGCAGCAGGACTTCTTAAGTTGACCACAGCTGTCCCACCAATCGGTGGCCTTCCTAGTTCCACTCTGTGATGACCAAGTCTCGAAGCCCCCCTCCTGGCTTCCCTGCCAGCTTGGCTGATTCCCTTTTAATGCAAACCCTGGCTAGGCAAGGCTGGGCCCGGCTGTCACTCGGGCTAACTTGAATAAATATCCCCCACAGTTCATTGCTGCCGCTCACGCCGCGGAGGGGAAATGTCGGCCATGTTGATCGTAGCGCCTCCACCGCCAGGCCGAGCCAGACCCGGAGGGGACGGC